CGTAGTATGGTCCAAGAATACGCAGAGAAAGGTGAATGGGTTATTGACGGTAATCAATGGCAACCATTGAAAGACATCACATACCCCCGTGCAACGGATATTATCTGTGAGCTTTGTTTCCTTTTGCATGCCTTCTTGCTGAGTTGAACGGAACTTGTTGAAAGGGATCGACCCACCTCTTCTTCTATGGCTATACCGTTTATTAGCTCGAACCATAAGACAAGCGATCACTAAACCCGGTTCTTTCTACAAGGATTTTGTGAATCCAAAAAGCAGCATTATTGTTCAGGCACTTAAGCTCAGGCGAAAAAAGCAGAAAAAACTGGAGTACCATGTTGCAAAAGGATAACAGATGGCAGAGAATTCCTGATGGTGAAACGTTCCTTAGATCGTTGGACAAGATACTTTAAAACTTAGAAGTTTCTGCTTGATGGAGAAAAGATCACTAGTATTATGGTAGAAGAACTTTCGACGTTGGATGATACACACATTGTGGCGTTGAACGCGAGAGAGAGAGGGAAAGAGATGGGTTTATTCAGTCCGATGATTCAGCACGGTAAAACACAATTTTCTTTCAAAATGGTTTGGCAAGCCTTGCAGGTATTACCAGATAATTCCTGCTGTAATAAAATAGCTCTATGAGGCTCAACCGACAACGACATGATACACTCTGCAGTCGAATAAGATCAGTGATACTATAGGAAGATGGGAAGACGAGAAACGAAGGAAGTAACAGCACAAATAGCGTTACTACAGTTTTGCATGCAAATGGTTTACCTACGAACCCCAGATCTGTCCCAACAACACGTTGGATAGCTTCATCCTCGAGTTCAGTCTGAATTGGTTGATACTATGCCAAAGCTGACCCCGCCTCATCGTTGCGGGAATAGAATGCAATGAACTTGTGAAGGCTAAGTGAGCGAAGCGGTTAGAGAAGTTCTTGTTAACCCTCTTCGTACGATATTGACGGCTGCTTCGCCAGTCCGTGTAAGCTTCAAGCCGGACAACTCGCAGAGAAATCACCGTTTATCGATGAGTGGTTGACGTTTAGTTGAAGGCAGACTAGTAATCCGAGCGAAGAAAGGACTAGTGGGGAGAAGATGATCTGCCGAGAGAGTCAAAATAAATAAATAAAATGAACCAGCTTTATCGATATAAGAATGACGAGAGATAATGACAGTACTCAAGTCAAAACAAGGGACCGTGGTATACAAGGTGCATTAACATACTCGGTCATGACTGCGTTGGGGGTTTCCGGGGCTGATCCAATGTTATCAAGGAGATCGGCGTCTGAGATCCCCTGTCTTGCGACATTGGTGGGGGCTCTCGGTTCAGATTTTCGGGGAAGGACGAGAGACTAGGGAAGCCCGAGGGAGCCGGGAACAAAAATGAAGATACGATGGAAAAGGTGCATCTGTAGAGCAGAGATCTCGATTGTAAAGCAAGCTTTCAAGGAACGCACCCATGCAGACTAGCAACATCGTTAATCCACGGGGAGCAAGTTCCGTCTCCTTCGTGCCTCTAATATACGTCCATTCAGTATCACTTCAACATATCGGCTCTGATACCTGTAGGAAATTTTGGTTTTGGGTTAGTCGGGCAACAAGTTGAAGATAACAATAAATAAACAACGAGCATGGATGTAAGAAATAAATAAATCATCAGTGAGGGTAGAGGCTGGACAAACATGAATGATGTGGAATCATGCCAAATGAACCTCCGCCATGAGCCCGATGTGTCGAGAAGACAGACGGTCTTGCGACGACGATGGATCATGAGACAATTTACATTCCGTGACCTCAATATTGAATACTTACGCGTACGACTGAAGAGCGTCAGTGGCCTGAGGTAGAAAAATCGCACTGTCGTTTGTACCGTACGAGCCTTGTCGTTTTATAGAGAAGTAGTTGGGATATGGACCACATCCTGCTCGATGGGTCTGGTTGAATCAATGCATTGCTTGATGAACTATCCAGGTAGGACGTATCAAAAAGCGAGGAAAGTTCAAAAGGCCCATGGGAACTGGCACTTTCAACCGGCACTTTCCTCGGATCCTCGGATCGATGTGCCTGGGCGCCAAACCTAGCATTTCACGTCACTTCGAAGTATTTTTTCTCTTCTCGTATAATGAGGACACCCGCTCCCACTGCTGTGTCCGAAGAGACCTGAAGCGCGACTCTAATAATAGATATGACAGTGACCAACGCGAATCGCGAGGAGTCAAAGAGATGTACTCAACCTGCCAAACTCTTAGTAACTCTCGTTAAGGCTGACTATTAAAGTTGCACTCCGGCCTACGGACTTACCAACCGGGGAAATGAAAGATACAGGACATTTAGCTACAGGAGCTAGCATCTTTTGAGCGGCCTGTCCCCAAACCCACCAGGTTGCCACGAAGAATTCGGGAAAATTTGAGATGCAACGCCCGGAATTACAAATCAAAGACACACGATATTCAGTTACAGGCAATAGCAATGAGCATCTTTTTGAGCGGCCTTGGCGTTCCAAAGTTATCAAGCCGCCATGGGAAAGTTGGGGAAATTTGAGGTGCAACTAATAACTATTGACCTTTATTTGGAGACTCGACCGTACTGTACGTATCCGGGCGGTTACTCATCCTGCACCCTGAAGTACCTGGAATCTAAAGCGACTTCCGCTGCGTTCCGTGATAACATAATATGAGCTCAAGGGAAGGATATACCAAAATAGTACTTGGTACATTATACGAGACATTATAAAGAGTCGAGCCTCAGATCAACTACTAATACACATTGCTCACACAAGCCTCAAAGATGTCGAACGCTCCGTAGGCACAATTTGCCCAATACCTCCAGTGCAACTTGAGCTGACCATAATATTTTTTTGCTTGCTTTAGTAAAACCACACCCTCCGGAAAACTCGTACTCATCGTGACCGTTAATGTCAAGCCAGGAAAGGTAGGCTTCCAACCACATACAAGCACCCAAGCATGCGTCACGAAGCGTTGAATAATTAGGAGGGGATTGCTACGGAGGCTCTCAAGGTTAACCAGGAACATGCAAATAGTGACGAGGCTCCCGGAATTGTAGGTTTCTGTCAGCAGTGGAATCGATCTCATTTTGAGCTTCACTTGTTCTTTTTTCGTCTCTTGTAGCACACTTTTCGTTTAACACGTCGCCTCGACTCGAATGGATCCTTCCTCCCAGCTTTTGTTATCTTTGTATGATTTTTCCTGCGGTGTTTTGGATTCTGCGTAGGTTTTCTGACGGAAATTTACCTCTGTATGCAGGAGGAATACGCCAGTGAGCTCTTTTGCCGAAGTTGTTCCATCTCCTGGGGACTGACATATGGCCTAGGCGTCGCTGCACTGAAAGAACAGCTAACCAGTCCTGGATTTCAGAGATTTGTAAAAACTCTCAAGGAAAACGACGTCGTAGACGGCGAAATGAAAGTTGAATATTTGGACGGTATGTACATCCACCAATTATCTTCCTTCGGTCATGTCCTGAATCCTTCTGTCGACACTCAGAAATTTGAATTTGAATTTATCAATCATGGCTCGAAATAGAACCGGAGAATACGAGGCTACTCCTGGGAAGATCTATGAGATTGAAGAATAGAAATCTACTTATCGCAGCGGCTGAGATATAGACAGACAATGACCAGAAATGAGAGCTTGAAAAGCTGAAATCTAATATACTAGGATAGATCTGTGATTTCATCCTGGCGCTTACGAGCTTCAATGGGGAAATTGATATTCACTGCTTGCCGGACCTTCCGAGATATAACAGGATATAACCTCCGAGATTTGACGCGGCGCGTTCGGTTGTGCGATCCATTAATTGCGAATAATTGTACTCACTGAGCCAAACATTTTGAGAGCTCACCTCGACTGGAGCTAATGTGGAGAAGAGGCATACGTGTTGGGGATGTTCAGTGCAGTGTCAGTGGACGGCTTGTACCAAACTTGCACCGCCAAATGAGCCACTACAGACCGTCGAAGAGGAGCTACCTCCAGAAGGCCGATATGTAACTCGAGACTTGATTTTTCTAAAAACAAGTACACCGAAAATGGACTTCAAAATTTGACTACACAGTCAACTTCTACAGGTAATGCTTAACTTGATTTATAGAGTTATTGTTTGACGCCTTTGAAGACAACCAGAAGTTGAAACTCCAAAAAAAGTCAAACTTGGATTTCTCGTATCCACCGAGTCCTAGTAGCCGACTAGAACGACTGACCTCGTCATGGTACAGTTACCAATACTATTAAGTATAGTGACGCGCTCGACCGACTGAGCTAAGAAGGAATTACATGAGTCTTCTCTGAGCAGTATGCGAACAGAGACACCATTGGAGAAGTTGGCACTGATTTCGGGCAGCATGAGTTCTGTGTTCAATGTTCTGCAGGCACCTTCGGGATCATCGATGCTAGGGTCTTGTTGGCGTTTCATATCCTTCCCTGCAGAAGCAGATGGCACTGTGCACGGAAGCAAGGACAGTGCCAAAAGAGGCTCGGGGGAGTATTTCGATGTTGTCCATTTTGAAGGCATTATGGTTTTTATAGTACTGTACTTGCTTGATGAAAAAACCATTTGGCTCCGAACAGACGACAATGTGCATAGATGCATAGATGATCGGAATGTAAAGTTTAAACTATCCTTGTATAGATAGATGGATCCCTCTTCGGCTCCGTATCAAGTACCTTCGCTTCATATACTAAGTTTGATGAACAACAACTTATATCAAGTGCATTTGGCTCAAGCGACTGCCATAGGTCTAAACAACAACATTTATCCTGAATTTCTGCGGTCAAGGATCGGCAGTTGATTGAGCCTCCTTCAAGTACTGATCTGACTTGAATTTCAGGAAGAAATTTAAGGTATATTATCAAGGCCACATGATGGGCTTGCTGTCTCGTAACCAAAGATACAAATCGGGAGGTAAAAACAGATAGTCAGACACCAGGAATAACAACACGAGGCTGAGCTCGCAAAAAAGGCATGATTCGCATTGCTCTATTCCTTCTAGCCGACTTGAACGACTGACCTCGTCATCATACGCTGGAGCTACCCTACATACTAGTGACGCGCTCTACCAACTGAGCTAAGAAGGAATGCTTAACACAAGGCAACAAGTGCCGTGAATAGCACTTACGGTTCAGCAAGCAATAAAAGTATGCCACACAGTATACCTCTTCTTAATGCTTAGCTTGGCTTGTACAGAATCAATGACACCTTAGAAGACAACGAGAGGTTAGATTTGTCAGACTCCAAAAAAAATGAAGATTCCTCAGTTGTGTCTTTCCAGCTCACTTCGATACACCAGAATCGTAAGACAATGAGAGGTCAGACTCGCAAAAATACACAAATGTCCAAAGCATTTCAAATTTTCCTTCTAGCTAACTTGAACGACCAAGAATTTATGCTAGTGACGCGCTCTATAGTACCAACTGAGCTAAGAAGGAACGATATCGTAATACCACAAGATGAGTATTGTGGCGATCTCAATTCTACTGATTGATAGTCCAGCCAGGAAGAAGCTATGAGACATCAAGATGACGGGATGTTCATGTCATCCCATGGGCATTAACCTGGAATACATGGCATTGAAACGACAGCCTGTCATGTGAAGGAGTGTTTACTAGTGGATCACGGCCGGGTCGTGCATTTGCGTATGCATAGAGGAGCGGACGAAGCGATAGCTAGTATTAGCGGCGATGTATCGGCAAGATCAAAGACTGAGAAGAGGGTAAAAACATGGAATATTGATGCATAATACATCACTGAGAGGGCTTTGTTCCATAGTGTATCCCGTACCCTTGAAGTTGAGGGGTACTATACCATTATAGTGCATTAAACATCACAATCCTTTTGAGCCTGGCTTAGACAGAGTTAAAGATTATTGTTGGGTTGTAATACAAGCGTAAGAGTGCGCGCAAATCGATGAAGCATTTACTTGATTGATCTTGATAGTAATAACAAGGAGTATTGAGCAATCCGTATGTCCACGTTAGTATCGGCAGGATTACCCCGACGTAAGACAAAAGTGTAAACTAAACACCAGAATCTGAGAAATCAACGCGTGGTCTGATACTAATGTGAATCCTACGCGTCTGAGAAAGCTTGAAGTCCAAGGGAATGTTTAAGTTTTGAGTTATATTAGTTATGCCCGCATTTTTTTGAGCAACAGTTAGATGTACCATTGGCTTGTGGATGGGTATAATGCGGAGATGGAAGTTTGGAGCAAGCTTGGTCCGAGTTTAGTGTATGTGAACTCGGTTACGTGAGTGATATCTGATCTCCGAGTCCTCGGCGGCCAAGCCGTACGTGGCTCAGCTCTTCCTCTCTCTCATATCCTATAATAAAAATTTTCCTCCGTGTTCTCTCTAATTTGTGATATAGCTACAATTCTAGAGCCAAGGCCGTCAAGGGCACGCAACGAAAGAAATAAAAGCTTCTTGGATTCGTTTGGTACGGTACATCCTTCCACGTCACCCATTTTTACCTCCATAGTTTCATCTAAATTCCTTGTTCGTAGAATTGGAAAAGAAGAGAAAACCAAATAGCGGATGCTCAGTTGGCCATCTATTCCATCTGTCTAATCTACGAGCAAGACAAAAACTTGGGCGAAAATATGAATCGTCCTCGGATTCGGAATGAACGAGAGGAATCGTCTTCTCCACCTCTCTTCGACGGCAGTCCGCTTGAAGAATATTCTTCTGCTACTATGCGTCGAGTAAAGCCGCTGCCTAAACGACGGCGTACTCTAGCCAACGCCAATACTACCGAGTCATCTACTAATGACATTGACTCACCCAGTGAACCTGCTCCACTCATGTTTGTTGCATCATCCAACGATGCAGCCCTTTCCGAATCTTTCCGTATCCCTGGACTACCGCCGCTTACATTCCCAGACGGCACTGCTGATGGATTGGAACTCACAACGGAACAATTACTCGCGCATGCTGACAAACTGCAAGAGTATTATCTACCGATACTAGATGCCGCTGCTAGTGCTGTGGGTATTAATACGAAGGATATCTTGCCTGCGTTTCGAGACCGAGATAGAGACGATGATTCGAATGGACTCGATGGCGATGATTATGAGCAGGAGGAGCAGGGAAATGGACACGAGGGTGGCGCTGGGAATAGGAACACGAAGAAACGAAAGGTGCCAGTCACAGGGATTGCATCGAAGACTTCACTTCTAGGCGACGTAGAAGACGTGGACACAGATACACCTGCACCGGCTTCTGTGGCGGCTTCCGCGTCTGCACTCTCCCATTCGCGTTCTCTTGCCCTCCTGCGTCTACGTCTCTCTCATTCCAACTATCACGGCTCTAGCCTCTCTTCCCGCCTCACAGCAGCCACTCTCGCGTCTCTGCAACAGAAAGAGATGCTTAGAGTTAGGAAGAAGCAGCTCCGAGCTGTCCTAGGCGTATTGGAGAGTTCCGTATTGAAGAGTAATGCGAATAGAGAGACGGATATGATGGCACTAGATCAGGCGATTGAGGGACTCGGGAGCTTAGGTTATAACTCTATGACCTCGGTTTACCGCGCCAACGACGACGATCCGTTGGCTTCTCTTGGTCTCAGCCTCGATCTGGGAACGAACCCGAAACTCAAGGGTTCCAAGGCTCCTAAGGTTCGAGTTAGGTTATCTAAACGCGGAAAGTTGAGGGTAGGGAGGGTAAAGAGGGTAGAGGGGAACGAGGGTGATGAGAATGTTCCTGCAAGCGAGTTCACGTTTGTCTGTCACAGCGCGAGTGAGTTTCGTCTTCTGGGTCTGCTGAACATACTTCTCATGATATCATGTTCCTTCCATTTTTGGACTACCTTTCGCCTTTCGGTTACTATCTTCATTTTACTTCGTTGCTGTCTCTCTTTTACACTACGCTCCTCCTACAACCAGCTACCGACCGCCTGACCACAAACAAAACTCAAGTCGCGGCCCTCCGACGTCGGTTTCAGGATGAACTCACGCGACAAGCGAGCCTAGCTCGTCAAGTCCGTCAAACGCGGCAGACATCCAAGACCGGTGCGGTCTCGTCGTCCCCTGCAAAGGGCACGAAGGGAACCAAAACCTCGAAGGCTTCCCGACAGAAACAGAAACGAGACCAGTCGGAGGTAGATGGATCCTCGGACCCGGCTACGAACACCAAACCCTCCAACAACGGTGACAATCCTTCCCCGACCAACTCTGAGCCCCTCAGCGCCAACGGTACCGCCTCTCCCACGTCTATTGTTGCCACAAACACGACCGCGAATCCGTCAGTCAAATCAAAAAAGTCAAAAACTCCAAAAAAGAAACGCAGTGCCCTCGCAAACGCCTCGAATCCACATCATTTGAGGAACTATGTCCCTTCGCGAGTGCCGTATGCCAATACCCCCACTAATAGCAATACGACGAGCGGGACGAATATGAATGGCGGGTGGAACGGTGGTGGTGACCCGAACGACCTGCTCAGTCCGTTTCCATGGCGGTTCCTGACGGCGGAGATTCCGGAGAGGGGGAAACGGCAGTCGGGGAAGACGTCTGGGGAGAAGAAGGGGATGAAGAACCGAGATCAGAATCGGCCGACATCTCCGATGACTACCAACGCGGCTTCACCCGTGTCTGCTGCACCTGGGATTGCGCTCACGAATTCGGCGGGGGCGAACGCGAATGCTACGTCAGAGTGGCTATGTGTTTTTTGTGAGTACGAGTTGTTCTTTGGGGATGAGGGAGAGTATCGGAGGGTGTTGAAAAGGAGGAAGGGGGTTTTGAAGAGGCGAAAGCGCGCGAGGGACAGGGCGAGGGATGTTACGGGGCCGGAGGGAAGGCTGCTGGAGTTGGTGCGGGGAAAGCTAAACCTGCGAAAGCTTCGAATGTCAAGAAGCCAGTGAGGAGGGAAGACGATTTAGACGCGGGGGATGATGAGTCGGAGGGTGGGTCGGAAGATGTCGTCGTTAATGGGGATGGAGGTGTGGAATACGATGAGCTCGATCCAGATCCGGAGCCAGACCCGCATCTGCAGCGGAGCAAGGCCTTTGGAAAGCCTTTGAAGGTTGGAGAGGGAGGAGAAGAAAGGAGTTCTTATGGATAAGGATGAGTTGGTCACCGATGTTTCTTCCATCTTTTTATCGTTCTCTTTTTCGATTTGACTTTTTTCGATTTGATTTACCCTAGATTTCGTCTTTGTTTCTCTTCAGCTATCTGTGGTTCCACATTCACATTCTCGACTAGCCAGCTATGTTCATCATTCCCTCTTTTCGTCGTTTCAGTCATCACCGTTCCATCATTCAAACGTCTATGCTCTGCTCAAGCTACTATGTATCGTTTCTCTCCTCAATCTCTACCGATCATTCTGTTCCTGTTTCTCGTTTTGCCGATTTTACTTGCACGCTAGCTACTTATGATCACTTGCATCGACTTGCATATGCATTACATACATACATCTTCTGTATATCTTTTGCATCGCTTCCGAATATTCTAATCCTTACTTTGCTTACTCAAACCCTACTAAGGTTTGAGAAGTGTCTATGCGCATTTGACCTCTGTACCAGTAATGGCCATATCACCCAAAGACAGGGACAATGCTTGCATACCCCAATTGACAAGGTGTCTGAGATGGCAATAGCTACCGCACTAATCCAACGCTAATCTAAACATTCGTGAGTTGTTCGTGGTGTTTTGAAGAGGCTCAGGTGAGCACAGGGAGGATAGACAATATCATAATCGCCCTGCGACTGTGAAACTAGTAAATTCGATATCCCAGGTACACTCGAGAGTGAACTGGGGTTTCGACGTATCGCTACTCTAGTTAAATAATAGCTAGTGATAAGATCATTTTGGCTAAAGAGTAAGGATAAACAATTATACGAAAGATAGGCCTAACGAGAGGGTTTCTCGCTCAACCTCTTAGAGGGGGCTGCCTCGTCTACATGAAAGAGAAAACTTTAGGAAAAACATTCAACCCGATACTTCTTCTGGGCCTTGACATGATAGCGGGACTTCTTCATCCCGACACTATCTGTATGCTGTGAGCCAGGTTCCTCTGATTCACGCTAGAACACCACCTGCAAGTGCTAAATCCGGTCAAGTACATGCCTGAACCTACAACTTACAAGGTCA